AGAATAGAATAGAATAGAATAGAATAGAATAGAATAGAATAGAATAGAATAGAATAGAATTCTTTATTGGCCAAGTGTGATTGGACACACAAGGAATTTGTCTTGGTGCAAATGCTCTCAGTGTACATAAAAGGAAAGATACATTTGTCAAGAGTCAAGAATCATCAGGTACAACACTTAATAACAGTCATAGGGTACAATAAGCAATCAAATCACACTAGGAAACAGTCAATATAAATCGTTAGGATACAAGCAACAAGGTTACAGTCATACACTCACAAGTGGGGGGGATGGGCGATAAGGATTGATGAGAAGATTAATAGCAATAGTAATGCAGACTGATACACCCATCGGTACACATGATTGTACACGGCTGAAAAAGCTAGACAGGGTTAGAGCTTGGTCAACTCTTGAATGGGAGCCTACCCAGGACTCCCCTTTCTGAAGCAGAGCAGCCCAGGGTCCCTCAGATAGCTGCCGGCAAGGAACTCAAGAAGCATCACCTATCTGAAAGTTGGTGGACTTTCACTCTGATGGGAGATATGGCCCAATGAGAAGTCAGGAAAGGTGGAGGAGGAGCTAGGCATGTAAATGGATTCTGAACCAAGTGGACTTGATCTTAGGAGGTCCCAATAAAGTCCACTTGTTTTAACACAGGGCCTTAATCTCCAGAAACCCTAGAGAGTCTCAACATGTGGGCTGCATCTCTCATTGTCCTTCTGGGGATCTGGTGCACAGGTGAGTAAAGGACCACCCAAAACAAGACCCCTGTCCATATGATCATCCTAAGAACACAAACCTAAAGCTTTATTCTTTCCCCAGGATCCAGTTCCCAGCCTACAGTGGTTCAGGAATCCTCCATGTCACCTTCCCAAGGACAGACGGTCAAACTCTCTTGTTCCCTCAGCAGTGGACAAGTAACAAATTATTACCAATCCTGGTATCAACAGAAAGAAGGAGGTCCTCCCAGATTCCTTTATGGTTACTACAGCAGTGCAAGCTCAGGCTCTGGAGACCTGAGCCGCTTCTCTGCCTCCAAGGAAAGTAACCAAAATAAATGGTATTTGACCATCCAGAACATCCAGGCAGAAGATGAGGCT